TGACCACCTCGGCCTACTATGGACTAAATGAAGGAACGAGTTGAGGCCAGTATCAAAACTGACGACCGTAATCTCAAAAAATCTCTATGATTGTAAAATGCCCTGGTTCATAAGAGACATTTTTTTTCAAAAGCGCATGTGAAAAAATTGAGTTGTAGCGTTCTTTATGGGCACGTATTTTTTTGCCACCCTGAAGAGTCTATTTTGTGCTACCCCTCCCCTTCCTCCTTCCAGAAAATACAGGTTCTGCCTTTTAAAAAAGCCAAAGCACCCAGTGCAGAATAAAGGGACCTAACCATTGCTGCACTTTATGCTTAGCGGGTCCAGTCTGGATTTATTTATTTTCATGTATTCCCGCGCCATGTTCCTCAAGCAGAGCCCTGAGGGCTTAATTGGGACTTATAGAAAGCAACTCTCTCTCGCTCAGAAAACATGTGAAGAAAAGGTTTTTATAGCCACATCTAGTCGTGTCACACATGAAAGACGTCCTAGTAGATAGCTGACAAGTCAAAGGCGGTTACGCGCTGGCACCAAGGGGTTGACTGGCACCCGAAAATGTCCAAAAATGTGACATTACGTCTTTCACGGCACCTCTTATCTAGAATCTATTGTTCCAGTACGACGGATGTTGGCTATGTGTGTCTATGGGTGAGAAAATAGTTTTGTGGTCATTTTCAGCAAAGTGCACTACTACTAGGGCTTAAATAGTTGTGAAATGAATGTGTGAGCGTGTGTAATTCAAAAACGTTTATTCTGGCGTGGTTTTGGCACTATGCCCAAGCAAGTCGTGTAGTGAAAGCGTGGTGACCAACGAAACACCTTTAACACATGTCTTTCGTATAGACGTCGGCAATTGGATTGGCGGCCGCTGCTCGATCGTTGCCGAGGAGCCTCATCATAATATTTGATTCGACCCCTCCTTTTTGACTACTTCACTTGCTCTTAAACTTGTTTGGAAAGGATTGCATTGAGCACCCACAGAATCAGTTGGGTTAGGAAATCATTTAGAGCAGACAGCTGGTTGACTTAGAAGACACAAGTCACGATAATTGAATACTTGCTCAAAAACAGTATTATTGGTGCTATATAAAGGGGAAATGACGAAAAACCGATGTTGAACGGCTAAAAATTGCGGAAAAACCATTGCTCTGTACGGCGTTGGACGAGAATTTTTGAACGAGTTCTCCGTTGGCATTGTGCCAACAAACCCCTGTGACAGAGATGGCTGCACGCATTTATTCATATATCCATGTAGCAACGCTTTATATCAATTGGACTTCATAAATGAAGCCCTAAGAGTACCAGCGTCGATGTGACTGTCCGGCCATTTGTGGGCAGGCGGTAGCAGTGGGCGTCTGGGTCGGCGCTCTGCACCCTGGTCAGGCTTTATAACGGTGCCCTCTGTTGGAAAAGGCGCCACGCAGCGCCTACTCAGGGAATGATACTCCTTCGTACTAGGAGTATCGACCTGTAGGCCTTGTCGATCTCATGCCCCGCCTCTGACGCGCCAAAAATGGGCTCCACGGCAAAGTTGACATCATTGGACCATTACCTGTCCATGGAATGGATCCGGCCCTCATTGAGTCGACTATTCCTAGTACTTTATGGTCGTCAATTCGAGAGTTCAGCTGAAGATTCAGAGGGGAAGGACACTCTAATCTTCACATTTGAGGGTGGTTGTTATGGGCAATACCGCTGCTAACTTGTTTTTGTCAAAGATAAATACAAATTTTTTCAATGAAAATTTCTGGGAATTACCTGATATGACGGAAGGTTGTCAAGATGTCGAGCTTTCTCTAGTGGTGTGCGCTGAAAAAAAGAGACATTAAAATTTTCAATAACTTCGAAGTCAAAACCTATGTTAATATCTTGTAATGAGCATTTGAGTGCTCTTAACTAACTTAAACCTTACAATCTAAGAACCTAAGTAGACAAATATGCTTATGTATGCCTGTTTATCCTCGAACGGGCTTTCGTTGTTATGTCCTAGTGTCGAGGTTTTGCCGACGGTGGTTTTTGTGCGGGTTTCTGTCCGACGGCTGGTGTTGGTCGACGTAGAAGCGCTGTTGACGGGGCTCGTGGTGGTGGTGGTGGCGGTGGAACTCCAACGATC